CATAAATTTTTCTCACTGAATACGTGACACATATATAGGAGAGAGAGGCTGCGGGGGTACAAAATTGTTTCAGTTTTGAAAGAGATAATTTCACAACAGTTGAATTTCTAATATACATCATAACAGACATTTGGGCATACCAGATAGTTGTTACGGACACATATATTTATCTAGAATGTAGAATATCAGTGAAATAAGTTAGAAGAAAACAAACATTTTTCGAGGGTTATTGAAGAGGTTCTACCAGTCATGGTATATTGTAGATAAAATAGAATGTAATTGAAGGTTTAGACTAATTCAGACCATTTTTTGAGTGAATTATGAACTTTTTAAATTTCAAGAAAAACAGTCCACAACAGATAATTTCCCAAAATATAGGTTTTTATCAAGTTCTTTGATAGCTTTTGGGAAAACAGACTTTTTCTCAAGACTCAGTAACCCTATGTTTCATCAGTTTTTGAGGTTACCAGAAATCAGGCGCACAGGGGACAATTTTGTGTCAGTATGCGGACATGTAATGCTTTTGCCTAGTAAATCTGGTTTTCAGTTTAGTAATTGTTCAAAACCAATTGTTATACCCATCTCCTTTTATTCCAACAATAGAATCAGAAAAACAAAAAGGCTTCCTTCTTGTAGAGAAAATCTCACAATACATAGACGTGAGAGAGAAAGAGAGAGAGAGAGAAAAGAATCTGAACACAATGAATGTAGCTATGATAAGAGAAGGAATGATGACAGAGAGAAGGAATGATGACAGAGAGAAGGAATGATGACAAAGAGAATGCTATTTGGGAGAGCCATGACTTATGTCAGTAACGACTGACATAACACCGATATCACAATCGTTTCTCCAAAAAATCGAAGAAATTTCCAAAAACAATTTTTTTCAAAAATGTCTTTGGGAGACCAAGGACAAAATGTTTGGTGTGAAACTCTTTTATCTCACTTTTAAAATATCTACAATGTGCCCGCGGAGTAAGGGAGGATCAGTGAAAACCAGACAAATTCAAAAAGAGACAAGGTGTATTTCAATGCTGAAAAATAGAAATTAAATATTATCAGTATTATCCAACTGTAAAAGGTTTTCTTAGACTTGTATAATGTAGACATGTCAGCAATAATGAATTATTCTTAAGTTTTCAAACAAAATTTTGGTTTGCTAATCTTAATGCTGAAAGATGTTCATTAAGAACGCATATGCATTCCTTTTTTCTCATTAGAAAATAATGTACTTTTTCCGCGCTGCACCAAATTAGGTAAAAATTGGGCGCTATGTGCAAAAACGTCAGTAACGTTTTTTCGGAGAAAAAAGTCTTTTTTAAGTGAGTGGAAGAAGGAAGCTAGAATAAGTTCAGAGAAGAACAGTCCCATGTCGTCGATTTGCATTGAAAACCATCGACTGATTGACGGTTATTTGATAAGAGTTCATCAGCAGTTTTCTTTTGCAATAGGTGGTAGTAAATAAGAAGGAAAACTAATAAGAAATTTTGGAGCTTTACTTCGCACGATGCTTCTGTTGTTGAACTGTAAAAAAAAATGACTGTGGTCAGGCAAATTTTTCATCGGTTCACCAACGGCTTTTTTAGCCGTTTCTATCATATGGGGTGACTTCCACTTGAACGTACATGATCAGATAACTCGTTTATCTGTTATGTGATTCGTCAACTGCTGTGCATTTAAACGTTATAACATCTTGAACACTATTGCTATTATAAGATCTTGGACACTACCGCTTTTTGATCTTGAATGGGTATCACACAGGATATCCACAGGACGATATCGTATATCACATTGAGAATTCTAAAAGGGATTTCCTATGAACTAATTGATATTATATATAGAGATCTGGGGATTTCATGTAGCTTCTTCCAGCTCGAGCCGTCAGTTTGCCACTACGCTAAGTTTGTACCTTGTGTCGAGTTGTTTTTTCACCGACAGTATGCTTTTACCAAATATTATGGCTGCACCTAAGACCGTCAGGTAGCGATGTCTATGGTGGACAAGGTTTTAATTTTGGAACTGATCAAATATTATTTTTCTATTCAGTGTATGACGCTGAATAAGAAAAAGTAGTTTCAAATTACAAACAGAAAAATTCGAACTTTCTAACTGGAAGGACTTTTTACTTTTAAGACCCTTGAGTATTTTGGATTTTTCGACACGAAAAATCGGTTGAAAAGTTAAGAAACCCATTTTTGTCATCAGCTCGACGCGGGCCATCCAGTGATGTATAGTATGTTGCTCGAGAGAAATTTTGAAAAAAGCGAAGTATACTTCTCTGCTGACGTGAAGACGGATTGAACGTGATGTAAGCCAAGCTTGCATCTCTTAACAAGCTATCTGGTGGTTAAACAAATCCATATTTGTTTCTTCTACAAATCATGTTCCCTAGTTCTGACACTCGTTTCTGCACAGCACAGGAACCTACTTGAGAGAAAACCAAAGACTATTAGTGTAGTATCTGATTTTGTCACAACTTTTGACTATATCCTACTATCGGACTGCTTATGATCTGCACTATCGGACGAAAAAAAATCAATCTGCAAAACATATCTTTCTATATTCTATCCATTATAGAGTCCATGAAAACAGATTTTTCAGTCCATGGACTCTAAAAAAGTAGTCCAGCCCAGTTCACAATACAAAACAACATGTTTTTTACTGATTATCCCTCGGCTCAGGTGAACCCAAAGCTTTTTTTCGAGTCCAGACTAGTCCATGGTTTTGAAAGTTTGAGTTCAGTCCAGTCCGAGCGCATGAGCTCAAAAACTTTTCAGCGCAGTCCAGTCAATAGGGAGATCTGGTAGAATCGCAGCAACTTATTTAAGTAAAAAGAGAATTGTGCAAAAGTCTCAATCTGAGCAAAGTTTCGGCATTTTGCTCACATATGTCTGTATACGTACGATACGTATTCTTGTATATGATTTTGGCTATGGCACCTTCCTTTGATTACTTATGCTTCAAACAGTAATGTTTTTTAACGTTCTAGTTCGAAATATAAACATCACAAATCTAACACTTTCAGGAGTTAATGTTTTAAGCTACTTTTAGGACGGATAGTAACGCATCTGTAATGCAGCACAAGTAATGCATCTGTATCTATATAATGGTTTTTCCGATTTAGTGCAGATATGGTGAAATACTTTATTTAATAAATAGTTTATACCAACAAACCAAAATAACGCCGCATCTGCTAAAACATATTCCACCTCAGCGATCTATCATGTTAAAATAGGTTAGTTATTTGATATCAATTGACGATATGAGTGAAAAATTAAATATGAAATTTGATTCCATTTATCCAGAACAAGAAATTGCAGGAACAAAAAACAATTGCAGTTCGTAATTTGAGAATAGACATAAAAGACCGAAAAGAATTTAACGATATTTTAAATAATGGAGTAATTAATTTATCGGGAACTATGTTACACGTTGATAAATATCTTCCTGCATCAAAACTATTAATTTGTACAAGATGCAATTAATTTCTGTTCGTGATTATCCAGGTCACGTCAAACAAATATGTACAAATTCAGAATGTGATTAATGTCGTAGATGTGGTGACGATAAAAACAATGATAAAGATCATAAACAATGTGAAATTTGTTGTCGTTATTGCGGAAGAAATCATCTTTCTACAGACTATAATTGTGTTGTCATTACAGAATATCGTTTAAAAGTGATTTCCGAAATTAAGCATCATCCAGAATGTCTCCCACCAAATGTGCAGTTATTTATTCCTTCACAGTATCGTGATTTCATTGAAAGAAGTAAAGTAATGTATAATAACAAAGTGATAAATCATCAACCACAAATCAAATAACAGCAGTACAATAGAAAGACAATAATGCATGGCCAAATCTTAATTTTCCTTCTCAAAATATGTCAACAACTACATCCTCGTCAATGATAAATAATTTGAATGAAACGATTAAAACAATTAGTGATGATTTGACAAAATTAAAGAAAGACTATGACGAAGAACAACGTAAAATATAAGAAAAATACAAAGAATATAGAAACTCAAACGATACAAACAGTGAGAGCGATGATCACGAACACCATGTTTCCAACATGGCAAATAGTAATCAATACATTGGTAACGTTAGTTAAAACAATGAAAAATAAATCAAATCAAAATGACTGTGATGGAATGCTTTATACATCGAATATTAAATGAAAAACATGATAAATTGCCACCACATCACTTATCATTTGAAATTAGAAGAAATTAGAAGAAATATTATCAAAACAACTAACTCTATTTCTATCCTAGAGTACTTTGTTCTACAGTATTTATCGCAATCACTGTAGTTTTTGTATCTAAAAAAGTATCTATAGTTAGAAAAATTAAAATAAATTGAGTTTTAGATTCTTTAGAAATGCTGTGTAACCACCTCTTATCTGCTTCTCATCTGTTTATTTCTGTTTACTTATCTGTTTATTTATTTATTTTTATATATTTTTGTGTATGAGTATCTGTTCTAAAAGAGAATTAAAATATAAAACGGGTCATTTTTCTGTATTTTTGAAATGAATTCGATAGCCTAAGTTTACTTCTTTTTCGTATTATTTATGAACCGTGTATTTATTAGCTGTTACTATTGATAACCTTTCGAGGAACAATACATTTCTATGTCAAAAAGAGAAATTTTAAATTAAACTGCATCGCATTCATAATCATAAAGTAACGTAAGAAAGAGCAGAGAAATAAAACTAACTGCGTCTGCTCATATTTTTAATTTCGTTCTTTACTGTGTGCAGTGCTTCCTTTATAAAAAAACGACGTCTCATTCAGTCATCTTTACATATGATGAGCCAGAAAATAGCAGTGGAGCAAAGAGCTCTGTTGGCGGATTTATATATGTACATGCGTTTATACATTTTGTTCCATCGTTATCTTATTTTATTTCAGAAAAGAGACACATCTATTGAGATTATTTAAGGTGCACAGTCAGCCAAAAGTAAGTTAGTTGTTGTTCACCTACTAACAAGCCCCAATGGCAGGTACTACATCCGTTTATCCAATTGATCCAGCTCAGCCAACATATGAAGCAAATAAAACACAGAAAAAATTGAGAGTGTTAATTGTCATTGGACTTGTAAGTTACGAAAAAACTCTGATGTTTCTCATCTCAACCCATCCTGATGGAACTTTTAGCGAATGCGTGTCTTATCAAGCACAATGCTGAAAAAGTTCTCAGCCTAATATTCAACCATTTTCCCTAGTAAAAAAACATGAGTCAAAAATACACCATATCCGTCAGTTAAATAATTTTTTCTAAAGAAATGTTGAAATAGTTTTAAAGCGCAGTAAATTTACCTTTTAGTCCGATTAATAGAAGGAGATTTTTGATTTCTGACTTTAAATTTTGGAAAGCTCTAAAACTGAAAGCTTGGAAAGCTTTAAAAACTAGTTTCCAGAAAACTAAACTTAAAACTTAAAATAACACCTAAATAAATGATGATGTACCACCCAAGAATCAATATAGTTTTTTCTCCACTTTCGCACAAAAAAATAATAATTCTCTCTAATCTAGCATAAAAAAATTGACCCTTGCTCGACCGCTTTAAGGAAAAGCTACACTTACTTTAATTAAGTAGAATTGATTTAGCACGTTCAGAAAAACAGACATAAGTTTACGAAAAAACATCGTTCATACTATGTAACATGTTATTTTGCAGAACATAATTCACTTTGTAAGATTACATTCGCTTTCAAAGCGAGTCACACGATTCTGCTAAGATGTAGGGATTTCTGAGAATTGTGAGTGCTGTTCAATAACATTAAAAAGCTTTGTTATTGAATTATAAAACTACAGATTTGAAAGGGGAAAAATGAACACATAGGTCTACTAAAATGTGTATGTAGCTCAACCCTGACTCAATTCTGTGCTTAGGGACCTTATAATTTCTTATTTAATCAATCATTTGAAGGAGGGATAGTTTTCTGTAGATATGCAGTTTTTTGGCATCTGGTAGTAAAGTTTATCAAAGGAGTGTATCAGATATTAATGAAAACGGCTGGTTCGGCTTTGTGGTTCGTAAGTGTGTGAATGATTTCTCTGATATGAAAGTTCTTTTCTCTATGTTTCAGTGATCTTATTAACATTGTATCTTGTTTCTGGCTTGATCGTTGCTTATCACTATGACCGAGGCGGACTGTTAATGGTATGTGTTTAAGTTATTCAGTTACATCAACTAATTAAAATTTGTCCGTTCCGGTTTGCTTGGCTCGATCCAATTCCGTCTCACAATGATCGTCATGGTCTTCATGATCGGCGTGGCTGTGATTGGCGTACTCGCAATGATTGGACTCACAACGACTGGCGTGATGATGTACATTCGCATTGCTATCAATAAAAAATTAATAACTGGCATTGCTGTGCTAATGCTTAATGTAAGCCTTATCCATTGATTTTAATCTCATCAAGGCATGATCGGCAGGCTTATATTTTTTTAGTTCTTCATGTTCTTCCATGCATTCAAATTAGCTGGAATAATCAGAAAATCATGTGCAATTAATTCTGGACAAATTTGCCAAGTAGTGGTATAGGTGTGTTTTATTTTGAGATTTTTGGATGAACAAGGAATCTTGAGTAGCTTTCTTTTGTTCTCTATTGCTGCTTTATTGTGGTTCGTACATCTTTCTTGCATGATTAATATAGTTATTCAGTACACCTATTTGTTCCTGCTGTTCAATATCCAAAACATTAAAAAAGCCTTCGAACAATAAGGCGGCACTTTTTCTAGAGAGTTATATTAGCCATGATTTATAAGAGTTATCGTTTTTATATCAACAAATGCAGAATTTCAAAATCTAGTAGGTGTCATTTTTCCCATGGATTTAGCGACAAGACGATCGAAAGAAAGTCTAGTATCAAACGATTCAGAAAGTTCGCCGAGTGAAACACAGGAAGCAGCCTTCGAAACCGATTTTGGCGATGAAATGGACGCAACCAATTTCAATGCTGCTTCTATTCCGTACGATATCAGTGATTTATTCTCATTTTGTAAGACACAAATAAACACAAGATTCATCAGTGTGTTACTCTACATGACACTTCGTCGTTTTGGCCATTCACGGCGACAAAGTGATTCTTTTTTAAAATTTATCGGCGGAATGACATCGCAAACGTGTCAGAAATGGTCAGAGATTTTGGTCAACTTTGATTTTGATGAATTCATAAAGGATGACAGAAGTAGTCAGACAAAAAAATTAATTTTCCCAAACACAGAAAGTGAATGTTTTTATTTCGCATATGAATGTTTTAGGTGGGAAAAGAGGCGATAAGTTTTGGAAAAATTTTCCGATTTTGAAGATGGAAGCACTGGATTTTTGTTTAGTACAATGTTCAAAAAAAGAAGCATCTTTTACTGCCGGTGAGAAATTCTTTGTTAGCTAACCTATTAAAGTGCATAAATGAGTAAAAGGTTTTCCTATTTCTAGAAACTCTTGCAAAATTTATCGACAATCGTTATTATGAATCGTACAGTGGTGATAAGAGTAAGATTTCCGTGAATGCCATTCGCTGTTTTTAATCCTTCTCGATTCGAACTTTTACACGTTTTTTGCTCAGTTTTGTTGCATAACCAAACAGGACAAAGTTTGTAAAAAGTCGAAGTAAGAAGGTTCGGTATTATAGGTTTCTAGCATACGTTTTTTATGAATGTTTCAGAAAAAAAGGACAATGATTTCATTCGTTCAGTACAGAGCTGTCGTCTTGATTAAAGAGAGTTTGAAGCAAAATTTACAGACAATACGGGTCGTCCATATTTCACCGGACATGAAAGAGAAGATATAGTCAAGCACCGAAAAGAATTTGTTGAGTATTTTATGGCACACAAAGATCATTTTTCATCAATCACAGATGATGCAATGCCACAGTGGATAGAGCCAAAATTTCAAAAAATAATTCTCTTCTGTAAGATAAAATGTTTTTCAAAAATTGCGAGCTTTTTCTATGAGTTTTTCTGTTCAGATCATGATGAGAGCACATACAAATCGGGTGAAATATCAGCAAAACGCTGGATTATGAACAATAATGCCTCATTTTACAACAAGGGAAGAGGAAGAAGTGTTATGTGCTCCGATTTCTTGGTGATGCACAAAAGTGGTCTATTTTTTTCTTTGAATGACAAAGAATTCGAAACTGTATTGGCTGCATATCCTGAATTAAAAGATAATTTTGATATCAACTACGAAAAAAATAGTGCATCAGCATCAATAAATGTTGGAGGGTAGGCTGTATAGTCGCTATGTTCTTGAGAGTACTTTCTGCTTTCGAGATTTTCCCTTCCGTTTTGTTCCCCGTCTGGTATTGGGCTGAGAACGCAGTGTAGGAAGGTCCGACAGAAGAAAGTAACTGATTTTTAATGCGCGTTTTTGTGAATGTTTCGGGGATAATTATTTTGATAGTGAGAGTATTTGGCATCAGTTTAAAAGAATCTTTCAGCTTTCTTAATTCAAAAAAGAATACAAAGGTCATGAAAAACGATAATGAAACGTACTTCGTTGAAGACATCTGCAATGCTTTTCTTTGACAATTTTTCAGCGAAACTATTGAAATATGTATCTTCACAAATCATTTAATAAGAGAAGAAAACAAAAAAAATTAGCAGAACATGGCAATTAATAAATCAGTGAAAATTTTGCTGTTTAAACGTTTGTAGGCAACGTTATGTTTTCTTGAAAGAAAACGTCTAAACAACTGACGATTCAAAATCACACAAACTTATATAAATTGTATTACTGTTTGTTGAACAATTTTGTAAGCATTAGTTCATATTGTAACAGGTACATCTTTTTTCTTCTTTTTACTTTATGTTATTCCGGTAATTGTCGTTGTACCAAAGCCACAACATAGGATACTATTGCAGTGACAATTAATGTTAATAATTGCACAATTCTTGATCGATCAATAACTACAGTTAATACAGTTACTGTATACTTAGTTTTCCTTATTGTTACATGTTCAATTATTGAACGTAAATATTCAATTGTTTTACGTGCTTTAACAATTTCTTTGATATCTGTTGATAATGTTATAAATTTAGCTAAATCAAGTTTTGTTCTGTCTAATAATTCAATAACAACATGTGTTGTTAAATGATTAATTGCTGACAATATGATGAAATACGCAATTGTAAATGTTGAATAAATAATAACTTCAATAACAGAAAATGCTGTTATTGAATCTAATACCTCGTCAAAACCATAGATGAGTAAGCGACACACTGCTGTTAATGACAGAACAATTATGATCATGAGTGCATATGCAATTGCCACAGAATTTCGGCGATACTTGCGTTTGTGTGTTCGTCCAATCAAACTTTCAATTTTTGCCAAAAAATATTCAACATTGGTTGCCTCTTTTAAATTTATAAGTTTTTTCTCATCTGATTCTATAAATCTTGGATTATTACTAACAGATACTAGAACATTATTGATATCATCATATAACTTTGTTAACTCTATGAGTGCATAAATTAATGCCAGAATTAAACATGAATAAAATACAACTGATACATAAATATATGTAAATTCGATTGACTTTACATGCCATGGTCGTTTTAGGTTTGTTGTTGTTATATTTGTCTCATTTGTTTCATGTATTGTTTGCCATAACGGTGGTTTATCAAAATACGTACGTATTAAGTAAGGTATCATTGGATGTACGATAAGCAAACCGAGCGTTATTATCCAAAAAGTAATGAACAAAGATTTTTGTAAATACGTTTTTCCTTTTTTTTCTCACCATTTTCTTGTGATGGTATAGAATGCATTAGAGGTTCGGCTTGTTTTTTTTTAATATCAAATGATCCTAATCACATATTACGCCATTATCTTGAGTACTGGAGCTTGCGAGTTACCTTGAACTCCTATAAACAATGTGACTGATGCTCATATATGAACTCCATTTGCCTATGTAACATAAGTACCTAAAGCTGTGTGAGGGTTTTTAGTGTGTCGTCTCTGATCAGTTTGTCGACGATGATACTGCACACTAGTGCTGTCATGCTGCTCACTAATGATACATAAAAACGGGGGTCTTGAGAGCGGCTCACAGTGTGCATTCACGGACGTTAGGCAAAAAAACGAAAGTCAGTTTTTCATCAATTCAAACAGTGATCTATATACTTCAAGACATGCTCTATCTAATGGCATAAAACGTTTTCTTACAAAGATGATGTAGCATGAAAAATCAGCCGATCAAAAATTAGCCTGAAAACTGATATCGGTAGAAAACTTAATTTTTCACAAAACGGGAAAGACTATTAGCCAAATTCAATGCATATCCTGAATCTGCATATCGTCCAGTATCTATCAAAAAATGTTTTTTTAATTTGGATTTATGACTGTTGAGAAAAAAATAAAAGGTTTTTCTAAGTGATTTACCAAACGGCTGGTTTTAGTGAAACGAGCGCCGTCTTCACATCCCACTTCGAAACTCTATCAGGCTTTGCCAAATGTTCTTCTAGCTGCCCTGTAGCATTGCGGTTAGTACAAATTAGCATAAATGTTTCTAGAGCTTGCAGTGGGTTTTCAGGTATTTTCGTATTTTTTCAATCTAAAACGGTTTCTATTCAACAAAAATGACATATTTGGAATCAGCGCAAAAAATTGAGTCGAATGACGTATAAACTTACAAAGTTCTAAAGAAAAAAGTTTTTCTCAAAGTTGTCACCTATTTAACGTTAAAAATATTTTCACCTAAATCGATCGAGACAACTTTTCATCCGCAATGACGTGGATAGAAAAGAGAAAACACAAAAAGTAAGCTCGATATTGGATTTGATCATCGAACCTTTCTGCCGTCTTTGAATATTTCAAAGGCGAAAAAGGTACCGTTACACTAGCGAGGAAACATTCACAACTATCCAATGACTTTTCCATCGAAACATACCTGATTAAACGTAGTAGGATACTCGACTGACTATTTAGGTGCTGAAGCATGCCTGAAAGTGCAACGAAGTGCTATTCTGTTTCCTCCTTCCTCCGCTAACAATGTACAAACTAATTATTCTCAACCGAATATCATACAGTCCTGAGAGACATCTCATTCTGAAGAGAACTATTTGCTCTATTTGCTACAGTACCTTTATTTTTGGAAGGATCTTTGTCCTGTGATATTCCTCTACACTTTTGACTTGTTCCAGAGTTGTACTGATAGTTGCTTGATCACCAACGCACGTCGAATTTGTGTTTCAGACAATTCAGCACCGACATAATTTTTTACATTAGCATGAATTGATGAAGGTCGTTGCGTTGCTTGTCGCTAACTATGGTCATGCTCTTCCGGTTTCTAAATATCTTAAGGATGTTGCAAAATGGATAGTTTTTATATTGTTAATATGCATACACTTAGTTTACACCATTCGTTGTTGACTCAGTTCGAAAGTTTGTCAGTCTATACCGCGTTATTACACTATTCACGTCGATTAAAGTTGTAGAATCACGTTAGTATCCACGCTCTACGCATTTGTTTTGTGTAGAATTTTTAAAAATATCAACACGTAAAATGAACTGCCAGAATATGTACATCCAATGTAAACATTTTATATGTCTCAAACACGTTTAGTGCTGCTGGTAGATGTGTTTGAACGCATCTTCTCAAACACAAATTTGACATGGAATGTCTAACATATACAGTTTTTAAATGTATATCAAGGCAGATAGTCATTTGAAGTTTCTTAGACCTCATGTTTGTTACCGACGTAATACATTCAGGAAATTTTCTGCGGAAAACAAAGTTTAGTGCAAGTGATTACAAAGCAGCAAACTCAGACGTCTAGAGAATTCGCTCATACGGCTAAATAATCCTATATCTCTACATTTTTTAACTTGCTTATCCTAAGCAAATTTTCGTCTTTCCCAATCATTCTAATGACACCGATCAACTTCAAGTCATACAAAGCTACTCTCACTAACGAAACACTGTCAAGTAACCTACCTTCGCGTCTCATAAAGCTTCCCAGGCCCCATGCTAGGAATCAGTCATCCAAAATTGGTGCAAAAAATAACTGTACTAGCCTCACCCCTACTATCACTTGACGACCTAATATCCAGATTGTTCTCACTGTGCTGCCAGATACGTTTTTTCAACTAAACGTGTTGGTCTTTGGTGATATTTATATTTATCACTAATAAAATCATAATAGAGAATTGTTACAACAAACATAATTAATACCAATGGATAATAAGTTTCAATTGTATTTACTTTCCATTGTATATTTTCTAAATAGAATACATGATAAAGAATAATATTAACTATAAATATATATGCAACTGATGATAACGATGCTGGTATTAATGCAAGTAAAACGTTTATTGGCCAACATGAACATTTTTTATTCTGGAAAGCTTTAAAACAATAGATAAATACTGCAAATGGTAAAAAAAGAAATATGGATAAAAAAACAAATGTATGATATGCAATAGCACTGTAATGTATAGCTTCAATTTCATCGCGCGATGGTATTGTTAATTGATGCTTCAATAACTTATCTAAATTTTTTAAAAAATTTTGAAATTTTTCGGCATTAATAAATTGCATTATTGTGTTAATATCATTATCTCGCTTATCAAGTATAGTTATACGAAAATAGTTATTTAATGTATCAAGAAAATAAGAAAGAAATTGTTCTTCATTCCATTTTTGATCATTACTTAGTGTATTTAGTGGTAATATATAATTAACAAGTTCTTTATTGGAACTATCAAGTATTTTCATTAATGTTAAAATACCAGTTTCTGTTTCAATTTTATCCAGATCACGTGAATAATCTCTATCCAAATATAAATAATAACGTGTCCATTTTGATTTATAATCTTTATAAAATATTTTTTCTTGAATAAGTAATTGCACAAAAAATAAAATAAAATTTCGATTATCTATCGAATTAATTTGTTCTTCTTGATTATTATTTGTTGTAGTTGTTGCTGGCACAGTTGTTTCTGTTTGTGTATATTGTTGTTGTCGTTGTTTATAATCAGTAATAATTGGTTTACATTGATCACGTTTAATTAAATCAAGATGTATACAGTGATTCATATTAATAAATAAATAAATAGAGTTATGAAAATACTCTTCATTTACTAATTCCTTACCATTATACGATAAAATTAGATCAGGTGATTCTTTTAACTTTAATTTTTGAATTGCTATTGCTTTTAGTTGTGAAAAATTTTCACAATGTTTGGATATTAAAATTGCTCTGTTTTCCCAATGAATATATACTCGTTCTATATCATTATTTGTATAATAAGTATTTATTATTAATTGAAATGGAAGAGTCGGTTCTTCTTCGACCGGAGGCAGTATATCTTTTTCTTGTATTGATGATGCATCAGGTTCTAATTCAACTTGATTTATTGATGTTCGTGATACGATTGAAGAAACTGTATCATTTTTTTTGTTTTCTTTTATTGATCTTATTCGTATACCTAAGCACAAATAGACACGGTAATTTTAACGTTTCTCATCAAAGTTGAACATTTTACTCCAGTTCTGACAGAGGACTAATTCCAGCTCATTAAACGCTTCTCGGCAAATGCATGCAAATATCGATAATCGACAGTAAGGTTTGGTCTATACCACAGATCGGTAATTAGTCGAATAGTGATGCAAACTACATTACGTCTTCCTATCAACCACAGTTTGACACAATGAGGATAAGTAACTTGTCCAAGACTATTAAACAGGTGCTGTACCAATGGTTCGAACGTGACATATTTGAAGTACTATGTACGGCTATTTGCTAACTCAACCATTCCCGATAGGGTCCTTATATTTATACAGAAGTTAAAGCCAGGGAAGTCCCGCTATGTGCATTTTGTAGAGCGCGCCGAATTAAGTAGGAAACTCCTCTTTTTCAAAAAAGATTGCGGTGAATAGGGTACGCCAGGGAAACAAAAGCGTCAGTTTTTTGCATAAGGGAGGCCAAAGCAGCTTTGTTTTTGCTTTTTACTAATACTAATTTTTTTAGTAAACCATGCGATAGAGCTTAAACAGATGTGTCAGGATATAAGTTTTAAATTTCGTTGTTAACATCATGACACACCATAATCAGCGACAGACGAAAACGGCTATAAATGAGTTTTTTCGATTTGCTCTAAAGTAAGCAAAACAGATGTTTGGTTCATGACTAAAATATAGTCTAGATCTCTCTGTTTTAAACGTTATACGACAGGGCCTTTTAGCTTATTTCTTGTTTTAACGATGAAGTCTCTAAGAGGATCATAAGTTAAAAACATCCAGTTTGAGTCTGAGTCGTCTCTAAAACTGTTTGGCAGATTTTTTCCAGAACTTTTTTCTGAATAGCTAAGCACTGCTTAATACTACAAAGTTACCATGTATCATTTCATTCTTAGGACCAGGACTGTAAAAAGTTCTCGTTGCGTTGATTTAACCATAACTGCGTTTTCAGTTACATCAGTTAGTTAATTTTGTGGTAACTATTTTTAAGTATGGCAGAAATATCCACGCAGCGGCTTAAAATGGCTTCCAAAATCGTTAGTTTTCCATTAAAACTGTTGAAACTTTTATAAATGACATGGTTTGGCAGTCTAATTTCGTTGAGGTAACTGATAGTAACTGATAGTTACCGTTAAAACAGCGGTAACTGAAAAAACAATTACCATTGCTTTAACAGTAACTGTGTTTTCACTTACTGTTGTCGATAACGGCCGAAGAAGTATCGGTAACTATTACAGTCCTACTTAGGACACATTCAAGAGAGTCGCGTCTCGGAAGAAAAGCTTTCTAGAAAATCTCTAGAAAACCCATGGAACAAAAAAATGTCAAAAATCTCTAGAGTCCATTAGTGTGGACAAAGTGTTTAAAGATGAATTGACGAATCGCAATATTTGAGCGTAAAAATGATACAATAATTCGCATTTTACCATTGTTTTGCGAATTCGTAATTCACTGCGAACTGATGCGAATTAACAAAAATGATGAAAAAATAACCAAAAAGGTGACTCTTTTGTTCCGCTTGCCAATTCGTAAACTGGAACGAATTCGTAGGCAAGAAATTTTGCGTACCCACGAATTCGTATACGAATTAGTAAATTGGCAAAAGTACGACAAAATGTGAATATACGAATTCGTAGATGCCAAAGCATATCCGACGTATTCGTAAATAGAATTCGTAAATTCGCACACTTCTCACCGCAATTCGCCGTTATTTTCACGAATTCGTAAAATACGAATTGATGTCAAGGGCCAGAAAGTTTTTTGATCTCTCATTCTACAAATTCGTAAAAGTAACGGCGAATTGATGTTAGAAGTATTTCAACCGCTGGATCAGTTCGTAATACGAATTCGCTAATTCGTAGTTACGAATTAATCTAGTTCTAAAAGCAATGAACACTAATTCGTAAACTAATTTACGAATTATTTGCAAATTGATCAGCATCGTGTTTGATCTATTCTCATGTTTCCAAATTCGCAAGATGAGTTCGTAAAAGTTTTTGAAGGTATCCATACGAATTCGATACACTTCGCATCAATTCTCTGCGAATCCTCAAAATAAGCGTAAAACGCTAATTGTTGCGTCATTTTTACGCTTAAAAATTGTGATTCATCAATTCGTCTTTAGACACTTTGTCTACACATCTCCTAGAGTCAATGAACTAAAAAGTTCTCATGCATAAGTTAAGACAAATCTTCTTTTACCTTTGTTATGTTTTTTCGTGCTGTATCCTGCATGTCGAAAACGGCCCTAGTGAATGTACGTGCGGATGGATACATGCTTGCTTGCCAATTTCTGCGGGTACTTGACAAGTACTTGACATGCATTATAGGAACAGGGCAGGTATTTTCCATAGGACAGCGCTTGCCAAGTACTTGATTTACTTGTCAAACTTCTCAGAGGTACTTGCGAGTTACCTGGGCAAGCAGATCAAGTAATTCAAGTACTTCATTTACTTGCAGAAAAAGCCAAGTACGTTGGACAAAACTTGCAAGGGTACTTGGGCAAGTACTTGTATGCCAGTACATTCACTAGGAGGAGCTTTTAAGGAGAGTTGACTGGATCGGAAACAGATTCGTTATAACTTTTGAACTCTACTTCTAACTGTTTTTTGCATGTAGAACCATATGACAGATATGAATCCGGTTCAGAAATTGATGAGTCGGTACATGTATTTATTCTGTTCGCCCAAATCGACAAGTCTAAAATTTTCTCGTGAAGTCAGCAGTTTCAATGGGTAGCACAAACGTTTTTTGACCATTGGAAAACCGTGGTGGAAAAAGAGTTTTCACTTTGTTTTCTGTCCTATTTTCTTTCTGCTACTGATATTTCGGTAAATTTTTTTGGAAAATAATTTTTGAACTTCTTTAAACGTGGAAAACTCGAAAAAGCTTAGAAACAATCTTGAGCAGATCTAAAGATGCATTTCTTACCGTCCGTTCGCAGATATTGGTTATATTTCTGTCATATGAAGCAGGTGTCAAGAAAAAGGATTATTTCTGTGACCATGTAAACGTGTACCTTGCTGAGATCATTCAATATAAGTGGGGACACGGTACCAGTGTCTTGCTTTTGTTCCTCTAAGGTTTCAACACTTTATCTATGATCTTAGTTAGGCTTGCACCAGTTCCAATCTTAGGCTTGGAGGGTTGGTACCAGTCGGGCTTGTTACCAGTTAGGCTTGATACCAGTCCCACCAATCTCCAGTTAGACTTCGTAGCAGTTAGGATTGGTCGAATATAGTAGGCAAAAGCTTCCCCGTATAATCTAAGATGGAAACGTCATTGCACCATGCGACTAGAGTAATTCTTTTCGTGCTTCTTTTTTACTTCAAAAAAGATCAAGTTTGTAGCTATTTTTCCTGGTATCAGTTGGGCTGGTCGATCAGCTTGGGTTTCAAAAAATATACGAAATGCGGGAATTAGTTTTATATAGCTACATGACATATAAAATCTTTGAGTACAAATACAGCAGTCAGCAAAATAAAAACACTCAACCGTTTTTTAAGACCTGAAGGTGGCATAAAAGTTCGACGTTTAGACTATTGTTTAATTTAGCAGAGTTTCGAAATCAACAAAGGCAAATCAGTAGTAGTAGATAGCGATACCGCAAAATTAGACTGTAAAAAGATGAGTCATCGGGTTAACGACACCAACTATAAGCCAAGAAATTTTTTCATAGGCGACGGTGGAAGTGAAGCAATACTATTAATTAAATAATTCTAAAACTACGGCTAGTGGACTAAAATAAACCTCGTCAACAGAAAAATAAGAACCAACTTCTGAGAGGGTTATCTTTTTGAAGTAAAAAAGAAGCACGAAAAAATTACTCTAAGCGCATGGTGTAATGACAGTTCCATCTTAGGTTGTACGATGAAGCTTTTGCCTACTACATTCGACCAATCCTAACTGAAGATTGGTACCAAGCCTAACTGGTCGACCAGTCCGACTGGTACCAAGCCTGACCGGTACCAATCCCGGCTTGGTACCAATCCTACCAATCCCCACTCGGATTGGACTGGTGCATGCCTAGTCTTAGTCTCTCGGGCTACGTTTCTGTAGTTTAAGTTTTGCACTTATTCTGTCATCACTAGAGGTGGAACATTACTGTTACGGTTACCAGTAATACAAATATTGTATATATTCCTATTACCGTTACCGGTAATATCCCATGTATTCCTGTTACTAGTAATAGTATTATTCATAAAATTAGTATTACTTTTCAGTAAAGTAATACAAGAAAAAAATTTTTTTCAAAAAAATATTCAAAAGATTTCGAAACTTCTTCTTGAATGAAAAACGAATTTCATAAATGCTACAGATACTACAGTATAGACACTATCGTTGTGAATGCCCGCAGACTATTATCGGCGCCAAAATATAACGTACTCTGTTGTTTTTCGAATAACTTCAAAACTATTCCGAAACCATTCGTACGATCGGTTTTCTAGGAGATCTTTGGAAAACTAGTTTGGATCTCCGGAAACTCATATAGCAATCTATCAGATTTTTTTCATAGATAGATGGTCCACAGTGCCACTCCTAACCCAGTCAGGATCCATCTAAAATATGTCAGAATATCATGACGTACTCTACTTTACCTGCTCAATATGATTTTTTACTTGAGAGCGGTAAGAAAACATTCTTATACTTCGGAAGATTTCTAGAAAGCCTTTTCAAAAACCAAAGTATTGTCTCTTGGTTTTTAAAGCTTCTATTGAGCTGCATAGTATTGAGCAGGCAAAATACAGTACATCTTGATATTCTGACATATTTTGGATGGATCTTGGCTGGGTTATGAGTTTTTTGGTTTTACTCAAATATAGGCAAAATGAGTTATTTTACTTAAAAAAATCCGATAGATTGCTATCTGAGTTTCTGAGAATCAAAACTAGTTTTCCAAAGATCTCCTGGAAAACCGATCTTACGAATGATTTCGGAAAAGGATTTTGCTTGTGAAAACATAGGCAAAGATGTCTTCTTTTGAGTGCCGAAACCCGCAAGTCTCTGTCTTGTAGCGTTTTGGAGTTATTCGAAAAACAACAGAGTGCCTTATATTTTGGCGCCGATAATAGTCTGCGAGCATTCACAACGATGGTGTCTGATACTGTAGTATCTGTAGCATTTATGAAATTCATTTTTCATTCAAGAAGAGGTTACGAAATCTTTTGAACATTTTCTGTGTCAGGCACAAGGCAGTGTATGCTTGATGTTGGAGAGTTGAAACTAAGACTAAAGAAAATCTATTTTGCCAAGATATGGGACAGGGACCGAAAACGGTTGCTGTTTCTGCATCTCTATAATTAAAACTAAAACAGTTTTAACCTACTTTCATCGTTTTTTGTAAATTCATCCATTATTTCTGATAGAGCAAATATATACAAACGATTATCTTGCTCATTTATTAAATCATTTATTTGTATCTCCACATTTAAATTTGTATAAATTTTATTCTTTAATTTCACAATAAGCATGTTGGATTGAGGAGCAGAATTTTTATTTTTAAAATTTATATTACCAGAAGGATAAAATGTAATTAATTCTGGCATCTCTGTTGAACTTTTACTATTAAATAGAATATGGTCAATTAAACTGAATAATGTAAAACTTTGCTCTGCTAGCATAATATCTATTTTCATTAATTTAAATAAATGAAATTTCTTTTTGTTACCAACATTAGATGATACTAGCATTGTTTGCATTTGTATTATACGACTGATGTTTGAGAATGATGTATTTCTTGGTTGATAGCTAACTAAAGCAGCCGGATTCTTTGGTTCGTCATCTTTTGTTCGTTCAAATAGTGGTGATCGTCGATCATTCGTCATTGGTACTCTATTCATTGCTTGTAAGTATATTAACTTTTTCTTGTTATGTCAACTATCATGTTATTGTAATTTCATTTCAGTAAAGCAATGATAAGAAACGTTATCTCTTTGTTTTTATTTAAATTAAATTTTCGCTTTCTTGTGTTTACAAACCCAAGGTAAAGGTGAAGTCCGCAATAACAACTGTAATCGGCCCACTAACAATAACCCTCGAATGGATCCCAGCCTCATCAGAATCACATCCGATTATCATATTCGACGATTTCGACCCTTCCGAACGCTTTCAGTCGAATATATCCGACAGAATCTACTTGAAACCAAGCAACAGTTTAGCATCAACAGTATGACTGTAAAATCAACATTTCTCAGTAATCATATCATATTAAGCCTAGCGCAATACATCATTCCATGCGCCTAGAAAAGCTCTACAATATCTGTTAATAGGAAACTGAGCAAGGCTTGGCAGCGGCCGTTATGAATCAAATACTAGATTTTTTTCATAGGTCGCCGCTATGCTACAAGATATGTTAATTGGAAACTTCACGATATTAACATATCGTGCAGAGCTTTTCTAGGCGCATGGAACGATGTAGGAATGATTAGACATCATCTTTAGTTTCATCGAAAAAAGTGACCGACGGTTCGAGTAGCATAGCGGCGACCTGTGAAAAAATCTAGTATTTGATCCATAACGGCCGCTGCCAAGCTTTGTTGAGTTTCCTATTAACAGATATTGTAGAGCTTTTCATGGCGCATCGAATGATGTATTGCGCTATGTTTAATATGATATGATTACTGAGAAATGTTGATTTTACAGTCATACTGTTGATGCTAAACTGTTGCTTGGTTTCAAGTAGATTCTGTCGGATATATTCGACTGAAAGCGAGTCTGTGGAAAACCAACTTCACAGTTCAGTGTAACAATTCGTTGTGGAAAGTCCATTCTGTAGAGCAAACATTTCTGAAGAAAATGAGACGTCTCCGCGCTCTCTACGGCACCTTTCACCCAATCGGCATTCAATGCACCGACTGTCCCATACCATCCAAACTAGCGGGAAAACAAGCGTAGGGTCTTCCGTACATTCAATGCAAATTCACTAAAAGGTGCCGTAAAGAGCTCGGGGACGTCTCATTTTCTTCATAAATGTTTGCTCTGCAGAATCGACTTTTTGCAAGGAATTGTTAGATTGAATTCTGAAAGTTGGTTTTCCAGAGACCCTGGTTTGAACAGCTATGATAAAACAGTTTTCAACAGGACAGCAATTTCCAAATTCTATCAGCCGTTCAAATTTTTTTTCAAATTTGTTCTAGCTTGTACGATCCACGAGAAAAATCCAAAATAAAGGTGGCGAGCAATTTTTCGAGCCATTCTACGTAAAGCGGCGAAGTATTTAATAGACAAACACGGCTGTCAGGCTTCGTTAAGTTTCCAATTAACATATCTTGTAGCATAGCGGCTATCTATGAAAAAAATCTAGTATTTGATTCATAACGGCCGCTGCCAAGCCTCAACTTTTCGATAGTGAGCATAGGTTGGGATACGAAACTGCTACCGCTGCTTTACTGTTTTCTAAGTCGTATTGGAATCACATAATGACTAGGATGCACTTGGAACATGTTCCTTCTAAGAAGTTGCAACCTGCATTTAGCATATCGAATGCGAAAAAATGGATTTGAATCTGAAAAAAGTGATATTACATTTTCAATTTTGAGACTACGTTTTTTTAGTTTTGAAACTGCAAATGTAAATATCGAAATAGTCCAAAAGTTTTGCAGTTTCAAGTTTTTGTGTCGAGATATTTATATTTCGCAGTTTTCAGAACGTAGGATAAGAACCGAGACGTTAGAATACGGAGAGGGATATTTTCAAATTTGTTAACGTTTTAATCTGGGAAGTTGGTAGAATATAGGATAAAGTCGCAGTGAGCACTGCTTCTTTCGAATATAGAATAAATGAACATTTCGATGAAAATATAAATGTTTTCCTTTTCTTATTCTGTTTTTTGAAAAATAAGAGAAACTATGATTTTCTAACACTATAAGGGACTATTCTTGACTCTTCAATTCTTCATTTTTCTTATCGTGGCATACAACATGCATATGCACACTACCTTTCTCTTCAACTCAATATAAGGGAATAATATTTAAATCGAATATCTATGTATTATATCAACAAGGAAGAGAGTGCTCATTGCGTTCGAGCAACCACAATCATTATGAATTTTATTGTATATTGATGATGAAAAAGTACAGACTAATTCTCCACAGGTTCGAATCAAAAAATGACTTGTCATTTTACTTATTAAATAAAATAAAATTTCAGCAAATATTATCCCTGGCTATCATGACTCGAAGAGAAAACCGGAAAGTGATGGTGGCCAAAAGGAGTTTATTTAACTGGTGAACATAAAAGAAACTAACCAGGTCAAACAAATCGTATACGATCGTATCTAAATCAGACAAAATCGTACCAAATCGTATGTAAATCATATATGAATCGTGGTATCTCATTTGTCCTCTGGATCGTATAATACGATCGTAGTAGATCATATACGATCGTACAATTTCGTATGAAATCGTATGATACGAACCAGAAGAGCAATCAGACGCCACGATTCGTATGTAAATCGTGCATAATCGTATATGATTTCGTACGATTCGTATACGATCTTGTGCGATCGGATAGGTCGACTCTATCACCTGGGTATGATTTTTCTTATGCTCAGCTGTGATATTAATAGACATATAACTCAAGAAATACAGTGTACCTTTTTCTAAAAAACAGCGCGACATAGAGCTCAACTTATTTACTTCAAACTGACGTAGAATACGGAGAGGGATATTTTCAAATTTGTTAACGTTTTAATCTGGGAAGTTGGTAGAATATAGGATAAACTCGCACTGAGCACTGCTTCTTTCGAATATAAAATACATGCATTTCGCTGAAAATATAAATTTGTTCCTTTTCTTATTTTGTTCTTTGAAGCAAAATAACGTAAATAACACATAACGACGAGGATTATAAAGGGAGAAAGAAAAGTGAGAAAAGGCAGAAAAATAAGATAAAAGAAAAGAAAAATAGACGCAGTGTGTTGGATGTGTACAGTAGAATATAGCGTAATATACCATGAAAACCTAAGTGGAGTCTAAAGACCTCAAAAATTGGAAATACCCCGACGAGATCTTAGCGCCGTACAACGTAACTCGTTGCACTGATTCCGAATACCTACGTTTCGAAAATTCCGTTTCTCTAGAAAAAAACCAACGAATTTTGATATGATTTTTATAAATCA